GGTTCGGCAGGGGGAGGGAAGAACATTGACGTTCTCTGTTGCAGCCAAGAGCGTTGGAATCTTGGCCTCTGCTTGACGATGCACTCTATTTGATTAAAGTTTCCCTTTTAATCAAAGATAAAGCCATTTTCCATCATGAAAATGGAAGTTGGCTGCATCAGAAGGTGGGCTGGAAGAGGATGGGTCGTGTCTGGAAAACGCAAAGGCTGCTTCTCACGTCTCAAGGGGATCGGCATGACATTTATTATTATTATTATTAGCAAAGAGAAGCTGGGGTTACATTTGCTAAGAGGTGCATAATAAATTTAGCCTTCTTGCAAAATCAAATCTGTTGATTTCATTAGAGATGAGTCATTGGTACATGGGCTCCATTACTTGGGCTCTAGTCTTGCAGTGTGACCTGGTGAGTATATGGAGCTGGGGATGGATATGATAAAATGATCCCTACTGGTCATATAAAGACTATGCATATGTCTATATCTGTTTAACAATGTAACCAGCTGATGGTTACATTGTATACAGCAAATGCTAACTTTAGGGACAATTTGCTATAACTATCTATCCCTGCCACTGGAATTTCTTGCCATGAGCAGAACTTGAACACAGTTTCTGGTGGTGTTGGGTGGGGGATTATGGGATTTAACTATCGTGGTATTCCTGTGATCCCTCTATGCCAGATCTTAATAAAGATAATTGGAATAATGTAGCCAAAATTCAATGTACTCCCTTTAGTAAATAGGTACTCTCACCAAAACAAATAGTGTACATGGACAAATATTTCCATTGCAATCTACAGTTCACAGAGTGATGTTAAATGCTATCCCCACCTAAAATGAGTGTACAAAGAACTCTTACATATATGTTCGGGTAGGATGCCACTATGACCTCATATATATATGAAATATAAGACCTACAAGAATAAGACCCACAATGCCTAGCAGTCCCCAGGGTGTTTGTGAGACTGCTAGGAAGTGAGCATGAACAGCACAACTGATGGTTTTCTTCTCACTTTAGCATGAATTTCCTCTGCGGTCTATACCAGCCTTTAAAGAAATCTTTACAAGTTCAGCACCTTGGATAGCTCACTGCTCTACTGCCACTATCAGTGAATTCTATGTTTGACCCACTCAGGGCAATGGTAATTCAATGTGCTCACAGAATCTGGGTGGTTCTTGGAGCTATAATTTTCAAAGTAACTTTTAAAAGCTCCAGATCTTTTTTTGTATTGCAATAATGATCACAGCATAGTTTCCAATCAAGTAAGGCAATATCCCCACCTTATTTACACATCTGCATCCCTGCGTTTAGTTCTTGGCACCTTGTTTTAAGAAAAATATCAACATGATGGAGCAGGTTCAGAAAAGGGCAGCAATGGTACCAACAAGTATGGAGAATAAAACATATGA